CTCTGCCTGCATTTGGGGACTGCTGCCCAACTGCCATGGCTAGCTTTAATTGGTTGAACCAACTAATTGGTCGAAAGATTTACATCTGTTTCCTTCTCTCTCTCCTCCCTTGCCCCGGCTCAAACCTGCCCTCCTCTCCCCTCCCCGCCCTCCCATCCAAATAGGTAAGGAGAGCAGTTTGGGAGAGGCTGATTTGCAGCCGAGCTCCGACCCTTCGGGAATGGACAGCAGCTACCTCAGCGTGAAGGAGGCCGGGGTGAAAGTGCCCCAGGACAGGGCCAGCACGGACCTCCCCAGCCCCATGGACAAGGCCGACTCGGAGAGCAACAAGGGCAAAAAGCGGAGGAACCGCACCACCTTCACTAGTTACCAGCTGGAGGAGCTGGAGAAGGTCTTCCAGAAGACCCACTACCCAGACGTCTATGCCAGGGAGCAGCTAGCCATGAGGACAGACCTCACTGAGGCTCGCGTACAGGTAACGGGGGATGCCCTGGGGCTGGGCGAGGGGTGGGCGAGCTGCAAACAATCTGGGGAATGAAAACATGAGCCCTGCAAATTTGTTGTCCCTTGCTGTGCCTGAGGTCACCAGCAGCCCCACCACAGCCTGCAGGCAGCCAAGCCCTACCCAGGGCCCATGCCGCAGGCTGGCACGCCTCTCCAGTACGCTGAGGCACAGGGACAGAATGGGGAGGGACATCCATGTCCGACACTAGTGTCAGCTCCTTTATTTGGGCTGGTGTCCTGAGCTGCAGTGTTCACAGAGAGGTCTCTTGTCCTTGAGCTAGTGGGGCAGCAGGCAGGTAAGCCTCACCGTCACCCTAAACAAAGCTATTACAAAAACTACTTTCTTCAGGGGACTTGGCAGGGGACACAGGTTCATTAGTCTGAGTGGGAGCAAGCTTTCCCATAGTATGGGCTCTTTCTGGCAAGATGGGGATGCGGAGGTGACCAGGATGTTCAGTACCAGAAAGCATGAGGTGATACAGGAGAGGCAGCTCTTGCTGCCTGCTTGGCTAAGCAGGCACTGAGACTGCACAAAGCCTGGTGATCTGGAGCAAAAAGGTGCTCCCACCATCTTGAGAGGAGCAGAAGAGTCAAACAGCCGTGCTGCAGTCTCACCGCCTCCACCCACACAGATGCCAGCTCCCATGAACTAGCTCCCCTGAACTAACCTGGGGGTCCAGCAGAGCCGAACTCCACACTGAAGGAGTGAATGATTTTCTGAATGCTACTCTTTGAGTCAAGGTTAAACCGAAGGCCCGGCAGAGCTCAGAAGCATTTGCAAAAAGGAGCACCATCGCTTAGAGTGGACAATCGCAGCTCACGCCTTGATGGCCATCAAAGGTCCCCCTGAAGCTTAGGCTCTCATTCTCCAGTCTAGCTAATCCTGTGACTTCTGTCTGCAGGCATTTATCAGCTCACCACCCCCAGAACCTGCATTAGCATCAAGAATAACTGGCGTGTGGAGGCATCTGATTATCCTCTTATACCAGGAAGACTCCCAGGTCCCAGGCAGCCTGGCTTGCCCTCTGCTCTAACCTTTACAAGCAGTTGTTGCAAACAGTTGAAGCAGTCAGGCCAGCATCCTTGCATAAGTCCATTTTTCTCTGTACATTTACTTCCAGTTTCAACTAGCTGCAGGATTTTTCTTGTCTGCTTGCCTAAATTGGTTTGCAGGGCTGGTGTGCTCTTCTACCCCACAGCTGTTTCTCTTCAGGCTGGACACGGCTGCATTTCAGTAGAAAGCAGCGCGATTCCCATTGGTCCTGCATGTAGCGTGCTGAGCACTGCGGGATGGGCAGAGGAAGGCAGCGCTACAAACGTCAGCTCTTTACTTCTGCCAGTGGACGCAGCCCTTGATTTCCCAGGGACACATGGGGTCTCCTGGGAGGCCAGGCGCAGCATCCGGTTACCGATTGCACAGTGCGTGAAATTCCTTGTGCTCAGGAGTGAGAACGAGGTTCTGGAGGGTGGCGAGCTCCTCCTGCTCTCCTCTGAGCCAGGGTGTGCAGCTAGCACATCCCAGCTAGCATGCAGGGCTGGCTAGCAGAGCCAGGGCAGGCAAGGCAGATGCAATCCAGAAGTTCATTACATATGACCGATGATCTCAGGGTTTTTTTCCCCTACTTTACCACTGGATAACACTGTGGACGAGGGCAAAAGCACCTCCCCAGGCAGCCAGGAGGAAATCTGGCAGAGGGAGGGTGCAGCCGAGGGGTTTCACCCTGCCCTAAGTGCCCCAGCAGCCCGCCGCCACAGGCAGCTGAGAACAGCCTCTCTCCTCTTGCAACCGCCAGCTCGCACCTCTCGCTTGGGATGGTGATGACAGGGCTCGTGTAACGGAGCAGCTGAAGGACTTGTCTAAGTGGCCTGGCCGCTTGAGCACTTACCCTGGGGTGACAGGGGTAAGCACTTGCATTTCACTCATTCCCCCAGCCCTGCCGGGAAGGACCCCGTCCCTCGGGCTGCGGGCTGGCACCCAGCCACCACCTCGTGATGAAGGGCTACCATGCCATCAGTCGAAATGCAGATTCCCTATCACTGGAGAGCGAGAACCAGCAGGCTTGTGCCAAGTGCTGTGGGTGCTGGCTGGGCAGGCTCAGGTGCACCCCAGGTGCCGGGCTTTTCACGTGTGTTCCCAGGGGGCTAGGGCTGCTGGCTATCGAGCTGCTTAGCCTTGGCATGGCGGTGGCAGCCCCCAGGAGGCATGGGGATGCAGCCTGGGATGGCACAGGGCCCTTCTGCTGATGGCACAGGCCTGTGCTTCCCATGAGGGAGGCTTTCGGGGCTGGGGCCTTAGTGAATCACCCTAGCGCCTGTCTCCAGCTCTGGGTTGTGTTATAGCTTGTTTAGGCTTGGCTTTGGCCTCCCACCCCTTTGGGCAGCTCTGTTCTGCAGGGGCCTCCCCATGCCAGCACTGCAGCACCAAGGGCCATCAGTTCACAGCCAAAGAGTGGGCATGGGGCAGCAGCCCAGGAGACCAATGGTGAAGCAAATGCCTACTGCAAGGACCAAAGGCCCAACCAGGGCCAAGGCAGAGGGCAGAAATCACAAATAAGCCGCAAGTCCCTTACTTCTTTCCTCCTGCAAGCCAAATAGCTGCTGTGTACTCAGCTGCCCTCTGCCATGCTGGCAGGGGCTCTGGCTGCTGTGGGGTGTCTGGGCACACACCTACTGCAGCCCCATGGGCTTTGAGGGGAGCTCAACAGTCCCTCTCCTAAGGAAGGTACGGTCCTCTAAGGGATGGAGAGTGTCCTGGGATAATTTCATGGAGGCCAGCTTCAGCTGCTTGCAAGGCTGAACTAAGCAAAGCAGAGTGGCAAGAAGGCGAGGTGCCCAGCAGGTTTGAGGTGTGATGCTCCCTCCCACAGCTGAGCCAGCTTTTGGCTGGAGGTCGTCCCCTCTGGCCAGGCTCGGCTCCCTGGAGAGCACCACCAGCCACTGCGCTGCAGGCAGGAGCAGATGCGGAGCCCAAACAGGCAAGCGGCAGCTCTGTTTTTTTCCATCCCTTTCTCAACTTCACGTTCATTAGTGAAATCTCGGTGCCTGGAGAAGAGCTCATGCCAGCAGCAGGCATGGGGCAGGCTGTACTATCTGCGGAGCGGTGGCATCCCTCAGCCTGGCCCCTCTCCTGCTCCTTTTCTCTGCCTGCCTTGGTTTCCAGCTGTCAGTGCTGGTGTCCGACAATGTCAAAGCTAATTCCCCCTGCGATGCAATGCAATGTTTTCCCTGCCTGCCCCCCATGACCTGGCCCCTTGTTGCCAAGTACTATTAAGCTACTGCACGTCCCTGTTTTCCAAAGTGGGAGCTGTGCATAAGACCTGCACAGAGGCAGAGCCACCCAGCCAGGAAGAGGCTGCTGGGGCTCAGAAACAAACCTGCAAGGGTGTGCAGCGGGTGCTGTTTTCATGTAGGTCCTACACAGCATGCATATCCCATTCCTTTCTCCTCCTCTTCAGTGTCTGGGGCTGCAGAGCCCCAGAAAGAGCTCCTGCTCGGTACCAGCAACTGCCTGAGCTTCTTCCAGCCCATCCAGGGCTGCAGCAGATGTCTGAGGCGGTGACACTAGAGAAACATGGTAGACACACACGTGCATTCACACATGGCTCCTTCCCCTTGCATGCAGACACATCCCCAAGCCCACGCCAGCCTGGGCCTGGCTGCTCATCTCTCTTGGGCTGTGAGTATCTCTGCCTCCTGGCCTGCCCTGTGGCAGAGGAGAGAGATGGGGCTGGAAGGAGGCTTCGTGGCCAGGGAATATAACCCCTCAGCCAGCCCCCCTCAGAGCCAGCCTTATGATTGCTGGGACCGTTAATGAAATGTTTTCGGCGGTGACCCTGTGATGCGGCGGGGGCATGAAAGTGAGAGGGAAATGTCAAACTCCGCTGTAGCAAAATCACCGCCTTGGAAAAAAAAGAAAAGAAAAAAAGCAAAGCAAAGCAAGAAGTAATATATCTTGATCCCTTTTCCCCCATAAAACCCTGGGAGGCTGGTGGAAGGAGCGGAAAGACTGAGCTAAGCCTGCAGGAAATTAAACATGAAATGAAAACAAGCTCAAGTTATTCAATTCTCTCATCCCAGGCTCCAATTTCCCATTCCAGGCCACTGATAAAATGGTGTCCAGTTTCAGCGCTCAAGGATGAATTCTGGCTCTGTTCTTGCAGACTGGAAAGCAAAGGGCTGGTGGCCATCTCCAGGAAGAGGGGAGATGGCCTGGCCTGTAGCAGAGGGATGGGGTCCTGAAGACAGACAGACAGACACACAGATGGAGGCTGAGCAGAGGGAGGAGGGCAGCAGGGCTCGGGGGGGACAGGGATGGGTAGAACGGATGCTGCGAGGCTGCCAGGGGAGAGTGGGAGCATGTGAGGCTTGAATGTGGCAGGCAGCTCTCGCCTGCTGCCGGGCAGTGATGCAGCGAGGGGGGCTTGAACACAGGGCATGGGGCGCCGGGCTGGATCTAGCCCTGTGACTGCCACCAGCCCACCACCACACGTGCAGAGGCCAGCCTCACCCTCCATCGCTGTGCTGGGGGGTGTAGGAGAGAGGGGAAACCACGTTTTTCTTTAACCTGGAGGAAGGACGAACGCAGCGATGCAGTCCCCAAGCATCCAGCTATGGCCAGAGGGGCCTGGGTGAGATCCCAGCTCAGCCTGTCCACCCGTGCCCTGTGCGGGGCATGTGGGGCTTGGTGGCAGGGACAGACCGGCAGCGCCGGCTGGGCGCCAGAGTAGCAGCAGCGAGACAGCAAGCAGGAGCCTCCTTCTTTCTTTGTCTCAGGCCGTTCCCAGCCTCTCCACCCCGCGCAGCATGTCAGCTGTGTATGCATATGGATTTAGGTACCAGCATATGGCTGAATGTTTATGGAGACATGAAACATTTTCTGTTCTGTAGATTTTTATAGGGCTGATTTGGTACATCAGGGCTTATCAAAGCATTGTCTGCAGGAGTTGGATACATGACATTACCCTACACTCCCACTCTAATTGTTAACACTGAGATATAGCCCACAACGACTGTTTATCCCTGCATGAAGGACCCCATCCTGACCCAGAGGACACGCTGCACCAACTGCTGCAACCTCCACTGTCACATCCCCGTCCCATAGCAGCCTCTCTTGACTAAAGGTGACAGGCAATGAAAGGAAAATGGACTTTTGTTGGTTTTCAGATTTTCTGTTTAAAAGCAGGTATCTTCTAAGATTGAGGAAGCCAGCAAATACTTAGGATTAGTTGGTTTTTTGCTGACATCTTCGCATTATACATTGCCTTGCCTGCGCTGTTTTCCCTGGAGCACTGTGGAGGTCTGGAGAAATCTGACTGCAAGATACCAAGCAGCCTAAAAGGACTTGGACAAGAGGAGAAAGGAGAACTTTAAAAAGTGGTCCAAACCTTGTTGCAAGCATTTTGGAGCAGTGGCTCACTGCCAGCCCTTGGAACATCTCCAGTACCCCCGGCACCAGCACTTGAACTGAAGACACTTTTCCTTTCAGCCTAACGCGACGGTTTGCCACAGCTTCCCAGCCCACCAGATGCATGGGGATTGCAATTTGGAACTGCCAGTTTAAACCATTTTGCTCTGCCAGCGTTCAATTCAATGTGTAAATGAGGAGCAGCAGAGGAAAAGCGTGTGCCGGAGACCCTGCTCCGCCTTGGCTGGCCCCAGGAAACCTCCCCGCAGCTCCAGCAGGCCCAGGGAAGCCAAGTGCACAAACCCCACGCTGAAAGCTTCGGAGGTCGCACCGCAGAGCCGGACACTGCCGTGGGAGCCTGCACTCAGCTGCCCCGCTCCCAGGCAGGCGCCCTGGGCGGGATGCTCAGGCAGGCTCCCCTGCATGGCAGTGCAGGTGTGCGGCCAGGGCTGGGCAGGCAGGCCAGCCGGTGCCTTTGCCAGGCGGGGGAATGACCGCATATGCCTGGCATATGTTCGCCCCAGCCTCGCACACAGCCAGTGCTCTGCTCCCTACCTGCTCTCCACCCCTCTGTGCACAGCAGGGCCTCCTCCGCCCGAGGAGGAACCGGGTCACCACCGCTAACTTTGAATCTGCAGATCAAAGCAGTATGATCTGGGCCAGCCCTGGGACTGGCCTGCAGCTGGGCTGGAGCGGCTGTGCCAAGAAGAGGTAGAAGAAAAGCAGACTGCCTCGGGCATCAAACCTGCTCCAGTAGGAGGCTCTTCATGTGCAGCATGTGCTCAACTGGGATAATGTTAGGACCTTTCTGCTGGTGCTTTTTGCACCCGTTGAAAATCCTCATAGGGTTTTCGATTCGGAGGCGGGGGGGTTAATATCAGGTTGCTGCTTTGAGTATGGTTAGTCTGGCTGGCTTGTGGATGGCCCACGCCAGTGGCACTGCCGTGACAGCAGTGCAGGGTACTATATCCTACACCATCCGCAGCCCACATGGGGAGGAAATGCCCTGGCGCTGCACCATCCGCTCCCTGCACCAAGCAGACCAGACCCTCAGCTGCCCACTCGTACCATGGGGCTGGCCACGGTGGGGAGCTGCGAGAGACCAGCATGAGGCTGCCTATGTGGTAGGGAGGGGGAAACTGAAGCAGGAGAGCCTAAAATGACTCTTCCAGCACAAGTAAGGTCAGCTCAGATGAAAAAGTACAGATCCTTGGGCCTGTCTCTCCCTGTAGCAGCTTCTAGCTGCACTGATGCAGGCTGCAAATGCCACCACTCTCCTGCCCCCCAAAAAGCCAGCCTGCCACCCTCCCCTGTGCCGAGTGCCCAGCTTGCCCCGCAATCCTCCAAAGACGTGAGCTGGCGAAACTGAAACTGGCGTCTGGTTTCTCCAGCTGCCTGTGAAGCAGCGGAGCTGCCCCACAGCCGGGTGCAGGCAGGGCCAAGGTGTTCATTAGCGGTGCCCCCCCGCTCTGTGAGTCACCGTGTAAAACTCGAAGCAGAACCTAGCGGCTCTTGGACTGCTCCTTTCATGCACTGGCGTGACCTGCACAGCCCAGCCCCTGGTGATCGCCTGCATCTCTCAGTGCCTTCAAAGCGGCTCTTGATTGATGTGTTTCCCTGACTCACAAGCTTCAAGAGGCTTTGAAGACACTAGGCCAGGCTCTGATCTCTCTTATGCTGATGCAAATCAGGAGCAATGGTGCTGACAACAGTGCAATAATCCACACTGATGTCAAGCCAGTAAAAATAAGAGCAGAAAACAGTGTTTTGGTCTTTCCTCTGCCTTGAAGGGATCTGAGCAGCACTGTGAAGCAGAGAGCTGCAAACCCTGCAAAGAAAACTCCGTGCAAAGCAAAGGACACGTAACTCTATAGAGGGCACTTGTCCTTTCCTGAGGCTAAGAAGGGAACGAGTGTTACACATTTTTTTTTTTTTAACAGTTAAGAAAAATAAGACTGAGAGTTCAGTGAGAAATGCAAGCTCTCAGCCAATGGCACCATCATAGCCAGGATGAGGCCTGGGGGAAGCCCCAGCGCTGCTGGTTTCAGCCTGGTAGCAGCACACTCGGATGTATTCGCACTTCTCATCTGACACTGGCTGACAGCACGAGAGCTACGGGCAGCGCCTGGGTAACGCTGATTTAGAGGCGCGAGGAAGATGGGTTATCCCAGGGCAAACCGGGCCGCGGGAGGCAAAAGCTGTGAACATCCCCAGACAGGCGGGACACCAAAAGCTGGCCATCGCCTTTTGCCCGGGGTGCTCCCAGTCTGGGAGAGCAGGCTGGCCCCAGCTCTGCTGGGGATGCAGGAAAGCTGGAAGCTGGCCATCGCCTTTTGTGCTCCCAGTAGAGCAGGCTGGCCCCAGCTCTGCTGGGGATGCAGGGCAGGACTGCCGCTCCCGCAGGGGCTTGTGCACAGAGCAGTGCCCTGTCCTCATGCCACGCAAAACCACCCGCCCAGCAAAGCCCTGCGTGCCAGTGGGCTCTCTGGGGCTGCTGGGCTCCCAGCCACCACCGGCCCCCCTGTTCACAGTCCCCTGTTACCCTCTCCCCCAGGTGTGGTTCCAGAACCGGCGAGCGAAATGGCGCAAGCGGGAGCGGTTCGGCCAGATGCAGCAGGTCCGGACCCACTTCTCCACTGCCTACGAGCTGCCCCTGCTCACCCGTGCTGAGAACTATGCTCAGGTGAGCACATCCCCCCACCCTGGTCCGTCTGTCCCGATGCCTGCTGGACACACCGCCTTCTGCTCCCAGTCCCCCCTAAGTGATACTTCGCTTCTCGGGTTCATCCACCTGCCCTCAGGCAAGGCTGCAAGAATGCCGGGGTTGGGGTTATATTACCAAACACTGAAGGGCCCGGAATTATTTAGCTGGGTGTCCTGCCCAGCTCCCTCATGCCCTGGCCCAGTGCAGCCATCTCTAAAGCAAGCACCAAGCCCAGCCCTGTGTGATGTAATGCAGCCACCCTTTGGGCACAGCACATCCTATTACACTGTCCTTCTCCCATCACGTGTGCTGCTGCCCACTAACTTCCCACTGATTTGGAAAAGGTCCTGAAGGCTATTTAAGGCCTTAAAACCAGCAGTTCCCAGGAAGGCTTCCTGTTGCCATGCCTAGGTTTCCATGCCCCTTCTTTAGGATGTTGGACAAAGCATTTTTCCCCTGGCAAATTCCCACAGCTGTCTCCCAGCGATGGGATGTGGTAGCCACAGCGCACTCGGTGACGTCTGGGGATGCTTCCCAAGGGTCTCGTGGGTTTGTGCTCCAAAGGAAGGGTGGGACCAGCCTTGTTGGGGTATCTGGGGCTGCTCCCAGGGACTGTCAAGACCGTTCCTGCCCTGGCCCAAGAGGCAGGTGACACAGCTCCCTCCCTCCTTAACCTCCCACCCTGGGAAACCTGTCACCACAGTAGCCTCCTAAGCAGTGGGCCAGCCCCCGTTTCACAACACTGCCTTCAGATGCTGCCAGGGTGGACGGGCATTCATTAGCTCGAGGGCTAGGCTGTGCCCCCACAAAGCACTCCCTCCATCCTACCGACTCCTCTTCCCGCCACCCAGAATTTGCTTGAGGGCGCAGTTTTGCAGGCATGATGCTCTGAACCCGACTTGTCCTCACAGATCTGCTGGGAGTCCTCCCCCCTTGACACCTCGGCTGTCAGCTACTTCCCCAGCCAGCGCCGCACCAAAGCTCCCCCGCAGCCAAGCCAAGAGCGTTTGACCTCTCTTCTGCTTGGCGTCTCCCCCGAACTGAACAAGAAGCCCTTATGAAACAGCTGAGAGATGCCAAAGCAGCTTTTCAAGCAGAGGACACTCTCAGCAGCCTTTTCAGCACTCCCTTCTCTTGCCTTTGTAACTTACACTGCTCCCTCCCTCCATACTGCCCTCCTCTCCCAGCCCTAGAGATCAAAAAAATGAAAAGCAATTTGCAGGAGGTAAGAGATCAGAGAGGGCCCAAGGGCGAGTGGTGCAGCAGGGTGGTGGGATCAAGGGCCCTTTGCTCTCTTGCTCCAGCCAGCTGCTCACCTCCTCCCTGCTTTCATCCGGCACGCCTGTCCCTCCCGCCGTAGCACACCTACTCCCGCTGGCAAATACTGAGCCCCCCTCTCTTCTTCTGCAATATCATTTAATGAGTGATGCTGCAGGATCCCAGATGGCCGCACGAGGCGGCCCCACAGGGCTCTGCTCTGCAGCAGGGTGGGCGATGCTTCCTTGACGCGCAACGAGCACCACTGGGGAGTATGAGTGATGCTGCAGGATCCCAGATGGCCGCACGAGGCGGCCCCACAGGGCTCTGCTCTGCAGCAGGGTGGGCGATGCTTCCTTGACGCGCAACGAGCACCACTGGGGAGAGTGGCAGGGAAACTGCCTCTGCCTGTGCTGGGGGCTGCGGGCAGCTCAGCTCTGACAGGCACATCTGTGTGGTGCAAAAAAGCTCTTGTCTAGGCAAAGCCGCCCTCAGCTGGGGCAGGAGGATGGATTGGTGGTCTCGCAGCATCCCTTTTTGCCTGTTCCCTTTATAGCAGGTAGGCCCACAGAAACACTGTGGTTGACACTAGGTTTCCTGTGCTGAGAGCTCCAGAAAGTGCTCATGGTGCAAAAAAAAAAAGAGAAATAGCTGTGAGGGGGCAACAGACAGACAGAGAGACAGCACAGCAGAGCAGGGGCACAGTCCTGCTCCCCTGTGAGTTAGTCTCCAGCACTCCCTGCCCCTGCCAGGGCTGGCATACGGAGTTTGGAGGGGACCCGCTGGCTCTGGAGGGGGTGCTGATGCCGCTGCTGTCAGGGGCCAGCGTACCGCATCCTGCTGCACCGGCTGCCCCTTGCGCGCAGGGCTGCCCTGCGGGGCGGCCGGGCGGTCTGGAGCCGGACGCGCTCTCTCTCCTCAGGCCCGCCACTGGCTGCGTCCCACATGGGGCAGCCCTGATGCTTCTTTTCCCACCCCCAGATCCAGAACCCTTCCTGGATCGGCAACAATGGCGCCGCCTCCCCCGTGCCCGCCTGCGTCGTCCCCTGCGAGACAGTGCCCTCCTGCATGTCCCCCCATGCTCACCCCCACGCGGCCAGCGGCGTCTCCGAGTTCCTCGGCGTCTCCGGCCCCGGCAGCCACGTGGGACAGACTCACATGGGCGGCCTCTTTGGCACGGCCGGGATGAGCCCCGGCCTCAACGGCTACGAGCTAAACAGCGAGCCGGACCGCAAGACCTCCAGCATCGCTGCCCTGAGGATGAAAGCGAAGGAGCACAGCGCCGCTATCTCCTGGGCAACATGACAGGGCTGCAGCCCAGCGCCCGCGAGACATGGAGAGAGCACACGGGGACAGCCGAATAAATCCATCCGCTTGGACTCCAGACAGCAGTTGCCTCCTCGGGGATCTGAATGCAGCACTTTTAGCTACCCTAGGTATATAACGTACATATGTTAACATAAGTGGAGTGTTTCCAGCATGGACGCGGCAGCTCTTGGCTTCCTGGGATCAGGCGGGGAGAGGGAGGCTGTGGAGCAGCACCTCTTCCAGTGAGATCTGGTTTGGGATGCGTCCACTCTCACTGCCACCTCCCCAATAACCTGGGCATTTTTTCTCCCTGCTCCTTTTTCTGACACCAGATCTGCCTTTCCAAAGAGCAAGAGCCTGCTGGCATTTCAGCAGGCAGCTTCCCCCCATCCCGTCACCCCCCATACACACACACATACACCTTCCCCTCCTAATTTGTCGACAGTGTTGCTCAGATCTGTTCTGCCCTGGGCAGGGGACTGGATGGGGACACTGGCACCAGCAAAGAGACACCTCTCAGGCTGCTCCTATCCTCTTAGCAGGAGCCACGGCTCCCACAGCTGAACGGGGAACAGGGCTGGGAAGATACCTGAGGATAGAAAGAAGGCAACATTATCCCGTCTCCTTCTACCCTGCTTCCTCTCCATCTTGCAGTCTGAGGTGAAGCACAGAGCTGTAGAGGCCTGTGAAGGGGATGCCTCTCTTCCCAACACGGTACAGTGCCACCATGCTGGGAGTCTTAGCTAGCTCTCTGGTCACCTGGCTGGAGGTGCACCCCGGCAGACAATAGCTTCCCAGCATCCCCCCACCTGGGGTCATGGTCAATGTTGAGGCTCATGTGCATGGTGGGGCAGCAAAATGTTTCCTCTGGCTTTCACTGGGTCAGGAATTACTATCCTCAATTTAGAGACAGCAGCTATGGGAGGGGAGTACAGTTGATGTGTAAATCTACAGGTCCCCAAAGAGACTGCTCTGAGAAACAGCTCAAGTGCTAGCACACAGCCATGGTTGCGTGAGGCGATCGAATTCCTCATACACCTTGCCCTGGGGTCAGATAGGTGCAATGACAGCCCCTCCCTGCAGCCCTTGACCAGGGCCCCGCTGTGCACAGCCGCTGCGGGCATCTCCGTGGGGGAGATGGTGCAGGGAGCAGGCTGGGAAGGGTCCCAAGGCTGGATGAGGTGATGCTGCCTCATCTCCAGCCACCTCAGATCCTCTTCACCTTGCAGAGGAAGCAGGAGACACCAGAACTTGCCTGGTTTGTCTGAACCAATATGAGTCCTTTGGTTTTCCCTCCCAGTGCTCTTACCTGCACAGCGCTGTTAAGTAAGATCTCCTTCACAAGGCTAAATGTTTCCCAAGCTTTTCAATGACCTCGTAGTGCTAGGAATAATTTTGGAACATCCTTTTACCCCACTTATCACCAAGGAGAAGCTGAAGGTCAGCTGAGCACTATCACCCACACAGCGTGGCCACGCAGGCTCAGCTTGAGCTGGGGAAGCTGTCTCCGAGATTCGCAAGGGAACTACCAGATTTTCCTCCCATAAAAAATTGTGTGTCACCCTGCCCTCCCTCCTCATGCTCAGTGTTAGCGGATCTTGTAGTTCAAGGTCCAGGAATACTTAGTGGTCTTGGAAAAGGCTCCAAATAAGCTACAACCAAATGTCAGGTTTCAGGTTAACAAGGCATACAAGTATTTCTATAGTGCCTAGACTGCCATACACTACATAAATGATACACCATTGCTAGATCAAATGTAATATATATTTATTGGAATAAGAAAAGACAAGTAGTACTGTCTCTTTTCTCTCCTCAGAAATGCTAAGAGATGCTTTCCTTGGTACTCACAGGGAACCAGCACGCATTTAACAACACCATGTGTACGACCAGGGCCTCTCCCATCACAAGCAGCCAGGACTTACGTCCCAGCCTAAACATTCAGCTGAGCCATTGGGCATGATGGCTTAGGTGCTAACAGTGATGCTGATCACTGAACCAGACAGGATCACGCTGACCGGTCGGAGGTGAACATCACCCCCACTGGGCGCCCCAGAAGCCACTGAGAGTCCCGGGCCCCCCCAGGGACCGGTGGCAGGAGGCGGTTTCTCCAGCAGATTTTGTGCAAGCAGCTGAGCGTGGTGCTGAGAGCATTTTCCCAGGTACACCGGGGAGCGTGATGCTTCCCGCGGTCAGCAGGCAATCCTGTGAAGGGCCGCTGCCCGAACAGCCCAGTAACGTTACTGACATGGCAAATTAGTACCAGGCAGAGCTGAGGAGTGGGCGGTGGGGCAGGCGGGCACATGGGGATGGGTCCCGCGTGGCCTGCAGGTGCCAAAGGCAGGAGGGCCATAGCCGTTCAAGAGCTTAGCTGCATTCCCTACTGAAGTTAAAGGGTAGCTTTTCCTCATGGACTTCCACAGGGCCAGGATTTCACCCGAGCTGTTTAACAGCCCAGAGGATTAAGTCCTATATCCCTTGTCTTGTTAGAGAGAGAGGAGAGTCTCCTGGCAGCAGACTTGGCATTTACAGAGGCTTGGCCTTCGCTTTCTCTCACCTTAAAATCAATGTGCAAAGCACATGTTGGACTCACTCAGTCTATTTGAAACGCCACCGCGCATGCCCGGCCCTCAGCCTGCCTGAAAGCATCACAAGGCGAGGAGGGGTTTTGTTCCCCGGAGTCCCCTGCTGCAGGGCTTCCTTCCCGCTGCCTGCCGCAGGCAGCCCTGCTGCTCGGCGGGCTCTGTCTCGCTTCTCCGGGTGCTGCTGCCATACCAGTATGGCCCCTCGCGCCCACGCCTGTGGGTCACGCTGGAAGGCGCTCTCCTCAAAAGCCTCCGAATGCAGCTATTCAGGCCATTTTTAAGTTACGTGCATCTGTATTGACACACATTTTTTAATTAATTTAAAAGTTTTTTTAAACTAGCTGTTAAATTAACAAGAAAAACTGTATAAATATATATATATATACTTTTTTTTATATATATATATGTATCTTAATCTAGCCAACCCGCA